TTATTGAAGACTCGTCTTAAATATTTCTTGTAAAGATACAAAGTCAAGGGTAGAGACTGTTGCCAGGACTTAACTGGCAGTGACATGACATGTGCTTGTTTAGAACTGCTAGTGGGTTCATTTTACCCAGAGAATATAGAAAGGAAGAAAAGAGGCTAAGAAATAGAGTGAGACACCCACAGGTTGTCCAAAGAATTTGATCCTGTTTAGAAGTCTGCAGTGATCTATTTTGGAGTGTCTCCTTAGACAACCCCATTTCTTACTTTTGGAAAAGCAGCTCCCACAGTTATTCTCATTTTAAGTTTCAAAATTATTGGTCTTTAATTCCTTTAACATCTTGGGCTTTGCTGGTGTTTTAGAGTTGGAAGCCAAGGAATCATATTTACTTTCTGTGAGTTAAACACTGCTCTAGCTGCTTCATATGTATCAATTCATTCAATCCTAGTCTGACCGATAGCATATATGGTTCTCATTCTACATGTGAGGAAACTAAAGCACAGAGAGGCTAAATATCTGATCCATGGTCACACAGCTAGGAAGCTTAGAAGCAGGATTATAAAGCACTGGTAACCACTTTGCTAACTAATAAAATGGGTATACACTACACGTAGCCCTTAGCTGGTCCCTCCCCAAAGCAGGACAAAATACATATGAAATCTAAGGAACATACTGTTAAGATGTAAACAACTTTAAGAAAATTGCTTCCATCTAAATCACCCCCTTGAGTTTCTCTAAGTAGAAACTTTGGAATTCCCACCACCAATCAAATCAGAATCCTGGCCTAACCTATGTTTACTATCTCAGATGTCTAAATCCAGAAAATACTATGCCTGTGACTACTGTTATATTTCAGAAAGTGAATTATTCTTGCAAGTGAATTGTACTATATATTTGTAAGCCCATCTTCTTGAGGTCTCATTCAACTCTATGTTCCTAAGGAACAGCACATTGGGAGAAAAGTGTTATGAGAAGTACCTCTTATACTATATTCAAGTCAAAGGAGCTAATAAGTTTTTAATGTGTGGGAACATGTGAATGGGATTGTTTTTAACTGCCACAAGTACAAAAGTCAAACTAAAAAAAGATGTAGGCCAAAGCTGCAAGGCAGGAGCACTGGCTCAGTCTCCACTCCCACCATTTTCCCTACTCTTCTCCGGAAGTGGTTGCAGCCTGTAATGTTAATGTTTCTTCTGAGAGTGACTCCCTCTGCTGCTCCAGCAAAGCCATGACCTGAATCAGAGAAGTGCTAAATGCAGTTAAGGCCTAATAGAGCATACTCTTGCTGTTTGCACTAATTGGAGACACTAGCATACATTAGAGAACAGTTATATTTAAGTCTCAACAATAATTCTAAATAAGCTAACAGGGTTTGCCTAATAGAGCTGATGCCTCCTTCCTATCATTAAGGGTTTGCTAAAACTAGATCAGTATAAATTTTGATTAAAAGCAGTTCCCAAAGTCCAATAGTAGATACTACAAAGAACCTGTCTTGTTTAAATTCAAATCCTCTATATCCAGAAAACAGAAGACCAGGGCATGCACATGTCTATTATGATCTAATGATTTCTCATTTATTGCAAATGCTTAAAAAGTTTGTTCCCTGAAGACAGTTAAGCACTTTCTAAGCCATAACACATAAAATTATTTTTCTAAACAAAGATAAACTAACATACTTTCTCTTATTGAAAATTTCCAAAGTGAATTCATGAATCTGCCCCTAGAATGGAAAAATATATGGTAGAATTGTAATGAAACTCAGTTGTTTTCAACACCAGTTGTCAATTTGTTCCACACCAATATGCATAAAAGCATGAAAGTATTCTTTCATTGGAAGAAGTGTAATATTTGTGGGTTTTTAAAAACACCATAAATTAAGATAACAGAGAATTATTCCAATCTGTTTTGAATCTTTAGTAATTTTCAATTCTGAGTTCAGAGGTGTTAACACTCCGAACATAACACTAGTTGGTGCTAGATAAGCAGCACATCAATACTGTGTAGCCTAGATAAAATGCATTTATACAACAGGAGGGCACTAATTCAGAATTACACAAATCAGAAACACACACACACACACACACACACACACACATCCATACTTTCACTCACTGGGCTGCCTTTACTAGTAAAATCTTTCATTCTTGGAATCAGAAGCACGGGCAAATTCCCTGGAGCTAGGAGTTCCCAGCAATCCTGAATGAAACAATTAGAGCAGAGCAGGAAAGAAGAAAGTTGTTGCCTAAAGCCTAGAGAATTTCCCAAGGACCTGTTTAAAATGACTGCTGTTGGTCTTTAAACCACAGTTACAAACTCAGTGCACTCACAAATAACATCCACTCTGTTTTGCTCTGAAAGACCTGTTTTTTCCTTGGCTATCTCCAAAGAGACATATATTTTCCAAAGCTTCTAATTTTTTCCAGCACTTCTACAACAATGGATCAAAAATTTAATATTTTTTGGTAAAGTACTTAAATGAACTGTTCTATTTTAATTGCACATTCATAAAAATACTCCACTCCAGTCTTTAACTCATAGAACAAGGAAATCATAGCTTGAGGGCATGGGCTGTTCTAATGCAAAATGAGTAGACCTGAGAAATATTGAAGGAAATGGATGTCTGACTGCCAGCCTACTGTAAATATGTGATTCTGAAAGGAAAGTGTTAATGATGGTTCAACATTAAATTGGCTGGGATAATAGGTAGCAGTGATGGGGACTGTAGCTTATGGAAGAGTTTGGTGCTTTCTGTTTCTTTTGATACCTAACAGAACACAGGAAGAGCTGATGTCCTGGAACATGGAGAATAACAATCATAAAAGTGGTTGTGGAAGCATTTCACAGGACACATAATTTAAGAAAAAAAAATCACTGGAAACTGAAAGAATTAAATGAAGTAAATGGAGAACTGTGCATAGAAATGTATACACACCACAGAATACACTTTCTTTTTCGAGTTAAGATCAAAATAACTCTTGAATTGCCTGGTCTATAAGAAGAAAAAGTGCAAGAGGAAAACACTCAAGTGTATCTTGAGTGTCTTTTCTTTTAATCTCTTCTCCTTTCTTCTTTCAATATCAATCCATTTACTATGTCCTGTTTGATTATCTTTATTGATCCCTTTTCTTCCCAGTCTTTTTAATTGGACTGTTGTAAGCTCTCAGCAGGCATCCTATCTCCTTTTGGCATCTTTGGAGACTTTAACTTGTCCTTTCCCCAAATAGTTCTCTCACCATGTCCCATGCCTGGCCACCCCCATGGCTCAGTCCTTTGTGCGCCCAATAACAGCAGGCGAATTCCATAGGGAGTCACGCGGTTGATTCCACATCTATTCATCAGGTTGCTCACTTAAGCTTCCAAATACCTTCCTCTAAGTATCCTGGGCTACCGCCCTGAGAACTTCTTACCAATTTCAAGAAATCTATAACAAGAACCATATGATTCCCAATGGAGATTCCATGGTAAAATAGATAGATGAGCTCTGGAGGTATGCATAAGAAAACCCGAGCAGAACCTCAGGGATGGGAGGCATCTGGCGAGAAAAGGAAGGAAGGATTTATGAGCCTGGCCACTTAGCAGGGCAGCAGGAAAATTTACACCCGAAGTAGCTATCTCTAATTCACAAAGCCTTGCTAATCACTTACCTCCCCACCCGGACCACACTCGCCTTGCCTAGGCACTCCACTCCACCACTACCTTCCCCCTCCCTTGCCCCCAGCTCCTCTTGCTTCTCACAGATCAGATGGAATGCAGACGGGAAAATCCAGTGTCTGAGCATCACCAGGGAATAGGGGCTACCTCCTTGATTTCTCCAGCTCTCCAAATTTGGAAAAAAGTATAACCAAGATGTGTATGAGTGGTGTGTGTGTGTGTGTGTGTGTGTGTGTAGGGGAGATCCCTGAATTGCCTCTGAATGCTGAATAGGCTTCCTTCCACATCACCACCACCCGCTTTCAGAAAAAGCTGCTCTGCTTCTCCAAAGCCAGCTATCACCACCCAACTGGGCGAAAAGATCTAAGTGGACTATGTTGGAGTGTAGGTTAGGGGCCCAGATGACCTGAGAGACTTTGGTAAAGGCAACTTTGGCTCCTTCTTCTCCTTAAGGCTGGGAGCTGTCGCCACCACTTCAAACTCCGGGAACAAGAAGGGAGTGAAGGGACCAGTCCCGGGGTCTCCGCTCTTCCCTTATCCACCCACAACTTCCAACCACTGTCCTTCCAGCCTGGCTTTGCCCAAGGCTCCGGACACTTATTTTAAATCTCACACGCATTAAATTAAAATGTCGCGAGTTATGAACTGGTTGGCTACCCCGGGGAGTTGCAGATTTGGATTCAACAACCAGCCTATTCCCCCAGAGCTCAGAGGTTTTAAGTTTCTCTGGCGCCTTGTGGGAAGGAGATACGAAAGGGTAAGAGTGCAGAGGCAGGCACACTAGTGGCCTGCCTCTGGCTGGGAACGCAAGTCCGGCCGGGCTGTGTTTCTCCACAGCGCCCCAAGCAGCAGCCAAGGGGCACCAGCGCTTTTGGGTCCTCAGCGGTAATGGACACATTTCCTTAGCTGAGATGCAGTGAAGGCTGTGCAACCCCAGCTACCGCACAGCGCGGGGAGCCTCTGCCCACCATTCGCATCAGGGTGCATCTATGTCAAACCACACAGCCACCCGTACCGAGAGTCTCTTCAAACCTCTGTGTGTACACTATGTAACAACGTGCGCGTGCGGAGCTGGAAGTGCAAAACACCCCAGGCTCTCACATGCACAGAGACGGATGCGTTGTCCAAACCCCGTGCGTCCCTGGTCCATCTTTGCCCCTTTCGGAAGACAGATTAAAAATCGCAATAATCAAAGCTTCTTGACTAGTTGGGAAAGTGGAATATAAAGTGGTCTCCAGTTGAGAGCAACGAGGTAGACTGAGGAAGCCAGAAGAACTAGGGAAGAGGAGATGTAGAAGGAGGGAAGGAAGAAGCGAAGGGAGGTGGCCGCTTAGCCTGGCGGACCCCCTTACCTTGAGCGGCTGAGCCGGTGCCGCTGGCGCTGAGCAGGGCCAGGGCAGGTAGCACGAGCATTTGCAGCACGTATCCTAGTCCCAGTCCGCAGCGGGCCGCTGTCGCCCGCAGACCTTTCCTCATCGTCGATAGAGGTGTGCCGGAGGGAACAACACCGAGAGACGCGCAAACAGCGGAGAGCCCCACTGGGCAGCCGCTGAATCCGTGCACGGCGAAGCAGTCCCAAGAAATAACGACAGCCAAACGCCACACTCCACTTTCTTCAAGGGCAGGGGCCAAAGGGGGTGGAGAGGAGACGCCGAGGAGGAGTTTGAAGGTTCCTGTTTCCCTGTGCCTTTCCAACTGACGTCTCCCGCGAGCGACTGCTCTGCCCCCACTTGGGAAGTCCAGGGAGGCGCAAGACCGCCACCTTCTCGGCTCCCCTCAGCAGCAGAAGCAGCCGCAGCTCCGCCGTGCGTCGAGCATGGACTGCTCTCCGGGTCCCTTAGCCTGTGAGGAACACACACAGGCACCAGAGGGTGGGGGAATGTGGGGAAAGTGGGAGGAGAAGGGAGCGGACGGAAGAAGCTTGGGCACGGTGAGGCGCTCCCGTCTCCAATCTCAGTGGTCTCGAGCAAGAGAAGAGACGCCCCGATTGCCGGTGCTGGGTGGCCAAAGAGTCACCTCCTAGAGTGGGACGCACGGGTACTCGGAGGCGCTTGCCGCGCCAAGAAGGCGTGGAGGGCACAGCCCAACTCTGCTGGGGGTAAGCGGCAGCGGGAGCGCGCCCGCCCGCCTTATGTAAGCAAGGATGGAAGGAGAGATGCACGCCTAGTTGAGAAGGCGGAGACCGCTGTTGGTTTACTCACTGGAACCAGGGCAAGAGACACCTGGGGGCAGAAGCGGCCGCGGCTAGGGGGAGCGCTCCTGCCTCCTGCGGTGCGCCAGACTTGGACTCTGAGAGCGCAGCGGGCGCGCCCCGGGCCACTAGGCTGTGTCCAGTGGAGCTCAGCCTGCCGCCTGCCAGCTTCTCCACCACGCCGGCAAACCCCGAGCCAGACTTCCTGGGACTGGACGCGCCCTGGGACTTCGCGTCTTAAGGTTGATTAGGTCGGCTGCTGGCTCGAACTTGTCCTCAGCAATGGAGAAGAAGGCAAGAAGCTTTCTGCAGTGTTCTAGCCCACCCTTTGGGTTGTCAGCTGCACTCAGACTGTTTTATGCTCTGAAAGCTTATGACCTCTTTGCAGTGGAACAGAAACTAAAAAGCTCAACGAAAACTCCTTCAATAGTGCTTTCTTTGCGTGCATCTTGGTGGCTGGCAAGGTGGAGTATGTAAAAGGTGGTGAGGCAATATCAGGAGGAGCTCTCCCAGAAAAAAAGGCAGAAGCAAATTTGTGAATATTCACTTAAAGCGATTTGGAACCTATGACATATTTTCCAAATTCCTAACAGCATGTGTAAGGACTAAAACTGCTATGATTCAGAAAGAATTAGTAGTTAGGTTGTGAATTCCTGTTGTAAAGGTGAAGGAGGAATGAAAGAATGGGTGGGTAAAATAAGGAAAGGTTAGACAAAAGGAAAGTGAATGGATTAATAAATCAATTACACTGGTGTAGCCAACACTCTGGGAAGAAGAAAATATCTTCTCAAGATTAGTTCATTTTTAAACTAATAAATACTATACAGGGAAATGTTAAGTTCTGGATGCCAATGGGGGCCATGTGTAAACACACACACGCTTGCACACACACACATGCTTACACTTGCGCGCGCGCGCGCGCACGCGCGCGCGCACACACACACACACACACTGGAAACTTGAGCTCTAATTTTCACTATGGTCCTAACTGTTATCATGGGCAGGTCAGATAATCTTTGCATGCCTTGGTTTCTTCATCCATATAATACATCAGTTCTTTTCAGTTCTAACACTCTGGAATTCTGCATGTCTGACTCCATTTAAACCTCTGGTCCATAAGACCTATTTTGGATAAATTTCATAGACATAAAAAGGTCATACTTGCCAAAGATATTGACAAAAATATCCACTTCTTATTTCTATAGAGGCTCTGCCTGTCAGAGTAAAATCTCTTCTTCATTCTCTTCAGTGTCCCACACCAAGACGTTATGATACTTTGTTAAGAAGATAGACTCTACTGTCAGACTGTGGGTTCATTTCTTAGTGTTTTGCTACCTGAATGATATTGAGCAATAAGATTAGACATCTCTTTTTCCTAATCTGTAAAATGGGTCTAGTAGCAGTATTTACATTTTTGTGGGGATTAAATAAGTCAAATACACACACACAAACACACACACACATATACACACACACACACACACACACCTACATATATGTATATAATGTCTCACACATAAAATTATTGTCAATTACTATTATCATGAATGGAAGATTTCCATCATCTTCATGCTATCTAGACCAGTACTGTTCAACAGGACTTTCTGTAGGAAGAAACATGTGTGTATCTATATTCTTCAAAATGACAGTCATTAAACATATATGGTTATTGAGCCCTTATACTGTGGCTAGTGTGGAATGGGAATTTTAACTTTTGTCCAATTAATTCATTTAAATTTAAATAGCCACATGTAAACAGTGCCTACCATGCAGCTAGGCCATTAATAACCTTTTGAGAATGACATCATAATTATATTTCATTTATTCCTGTACCAATTTTTCCAAGGAGGTTATATTTTAAATAGTATGGAAGAAATCCCTGTGCATACTCACTACCATATTAACAACATCCAAAAGTTGTAAAATTTTTCATTTTTAAATTGACAACTTACTTGTAAAAGAGTTTATTTAACTCTTTTAAAGTAGGCACTTTATCTTGTTCATCATTTTATCTCCAGCTCCTAATGTAGAATCTGATGTATAATTGGTATTCAATGAATAGTAGTTAATTGGTTGTCAAAAAGACTCAATGGGGAAGAATCCTCAAAGTCTAGTTAAAGAAGGTTGAATTATCACATAGTTTGGTCTGGGGCATTACAGGGCTCAATAGCAAATGCTGCATGAAATTAATTCCTTGAAAGAATGAGTAAGAGAAAAGAAAGGAAAACATAGTTCAGTACTGGAATTCAGCCTAAAGAGGGCAGGAGAATGTCTTGAGAGATGATATATAGAGAAGAGGTAGAAAAGGGAGGGGAGACTGGAAAACTCAAGAACAAGGAGAAGGCAGGCTCTAACCAGCAGATCAGCTGCACAGACAGGCAAGTTTTCTGCTCTTGTTGGTTACAGATGGGACTTGCCTGTGTATCAATATTCTGCCTAGTTTTCTTGTCTGTCACACTTTTTTTTTTTTCATGAAAGAGATAAAGTATCATTTATAGGTTCCTGAGTATAGACTTCTTAACATCACTTGGATCTGGACTCAAATATCACTGCCTAGGGATGACTTTTCTGACCCATTTACCTAAAATAGAAACAACACATTGCTTCAATTGTATTCACCTACTATGATTTTCCATATAGCACTTAGTTTATATCTCTATACATGTATCTACCTGTATACATGTATGCATACCTACAGGTATATGTACAAATATTCTCCAGTAAAATACATGCTTCTCAAGGGGAGGTTTTTTTTTTTTTTTTTTTTTGTAGTGAGTTCAGCATGCTGTACCCATAAATCTAGAACATAGCCTAGCACATGATAGATGGTCAATAAACATTTATTGAATATTGAATTACATGAGTAAGAGTCAGTGGATTTTAAAACTGAGCTAAGTCCTTGATTACTATCAACCTCCAATATGTTTTCAAATTATGAGTAGTCTTTTTTTTTTGATTGTTGAATAAAATCAAGTTTGGATGAATTTCCACCAAAATTTTATTTGAATATGAATGTTTAGGGTTGGAATAATGCAGATGTTTAAGAAACTGACGTAAAATTCATCTCATTTTGAAAACTAAAAAGCTTTATTTAAATCCATACAAGGGCTTCCTTTTTCTTGGCTGCAGTGAGTGGAGAATTAACTCTGGGATAATAAATCCCAGTGACAGGTGCTAATGGGAATTAAGCATGCAAATCCCTTGCATATCCCTCCAGAAATCTACACCAAGAAAAGTATGCTATTTAGCATGGGCTGCTTAGTAATAATAGTATTTACTCTAAACTGGTATGGAAAAAGTTTCCAGCTTAAGGCTTAAATAAAAAGGAACTGAATATTAATTTTAATTACAGAAATATTTTCCTTTATTTTTATCTCTGTCCTTATGTTTGACTCCTTCCTTACAGTTTATATTTTTATGTATTTTTAAAAAATAAGCTTTATAGCAGTAAGCAGAAATATTATTAACTGGCAACATAGAAGAAGGAGAATTTTAGTAAATAAATAGAAGTAGTAGTGAGGAAAACTCTTCCTAACTAGGAGTTGGGGGATCAGAGACCTTAGATAACATTGCAGATAGACATCAACTAAGGAGGACCAGATGGTCCTGTTCGGCTGATTCAATTCCTCTTCTCTGCCCCAGCCTAGGAAAAGAGACTTGATCTGTTATAAACCTATATACACTGGAGCTCTATGCTTCCTATTAGTTGTATTAAACAAGACTCATTTGGTTGCAAGTGAAAGAAATCCAACTTAAACCAATTTGAGCAAAAAGAGTCTTTAGACTGTATATAAGTCAAAAGCCACGGGTAAAAATTGTCTGCATTAATTATGACTAACATTTATTGATCAGTCACTAGTGAAAGGTACTGTTCTAAGCTCTTTTATGTGGCTGTCTCATTTAGTCCTTACATTAAGGATCAAATTAAAGTAACATTATTGCTTTAGTTCATTCGTACTGTTATAATAGAATATTACAGAATGGGTAATTTATAAAAATAAAACTTATTTTCTTATAGTTCAAAAGACAGGGAAGTTTAAGATTGAGGGGCTGACAACCTGTGAGCACCTTCTTGCTGTGTCTTTCATTGGTGAAAGAGAAGGTGAGAGAAAGCAAGGGGGACTGAGCTGTTGACCTTTTAATAGGAACCTACTTTTGCAATAATGAATCCACTCCAATGATAATGGCATTAATCCCCTTACAAGAAAGAGCAGTGCCCGAAGGACCCATACCTCCAATTAGGCTACCATTTCCCAAAACTACAGCATTAGAAACCAAATTTCTAACACCTGAACTTTGGGGAACACATTCAAATCCAGTGATTATTATCCCCTCTCTACATAGGAAGCTGAGTAGTTAAGTAACTTTGCCAAAGTTCACACACAGCATTTATTAGTACCAGTCTAATTTTAGGGATCATGTTCTAAACCCACAAATTTAAATGCAACTTATTGGACTTAGTCTCTCCCATCCCCATCCTGATTATGCTCTCCTCTGTTGAGACTTCATCCACAGACTTGTGCTCTCAATGCTGGGATTCCTAGAGGCTCTGGGTTTACACTGTCTTTACCATTATGGATATCAACACCAACAGCATATCTATTCTCAACTGGTCAACAAAAT